CAATCTAGTATTACGTTTAAATTCATGCTATAATGGTACCAAAGAGGAGAGCTCATTAGAACAATTACCATGAAAATATTTATATTAAAGACAGAGAAGCTATGTCACGGCGGTGGGAAATTGACTGAAGTCGAGAACCTTTGGATTTTTTTCCATAATCTCGCGATATATAGCAGGGGGCACTAAACTAGATGCGGCATCAATATTCAATACACGGACGAATGGTAGATTTATAAATGCGGAAGATTCTGACGAGAAAAGATTGTCTGACACAACACAGTTAACCAGCAGAACTAGAAACTGATTCAATATAATCATTCCACTTCATATCAGTGGAAAACTTGAGACCAAGAAGGTCCAAGGGGTTGCTTTCCTGGGAGTTAGTATCAGCGATGCTGGTGGAGGGCAAAATGCTTCTCTATAATGATTAAAGTATGACAGCTTCGTTTTGAAGGCGTTAGAATTTAAAAGCTATTTCTTACTTCAACTAAGAACATTTTCGAGAGCAGCTGCCAGTTTTACATTGTTGGACCTATCAGACTATCTAAATGAGGACATTTAGTTGATTATATATTTTCCTTTATCCTAATCTATTATTATGTAGCAAGGTAATAATTTTCTGGCGACAACACTTTTGTTTTGGACAGTGTTTTGATCTGGCATTTAATAATTGAGTTCAGAATGACATTAATACTGTCTACACTGTTTAGAAATCTTTTAGGACGATTGAAAAAGAAAGGACGTACGCTGTCATAGCTCTCCATAAATACCCTCGATTTAATGTGTTAATTGCTATTACTTCTTGGGAATGACAGTGGAGAGGTTTCCTCTTGATTTTGAATTCATATCGTCTCTCGCTTAGAATGACTGCCACCCAATTATAAAAGGATATTTAACCGATAGTTGGATGGAAAAAATGAATTCATGTATCTCTCGGCTATTAGGGCGAATGTAAAAGACTCTATCAGAATTCGAACTCGGCTCGTCGACTTCACTTTTCATCCCGAAAACAGTTAGTCTATCTGCACATCTAGTTGGCAAGTTCTTATCTTTAGATATTTTAAATCAATCGCATGCTGAATGGTTCTTTCGCAGAAATACTGCGTATGTCTCACTTGACATGGGGGATCGAGTGTTGTTCTTTAGAGTTTAGTAATGAGAGCAGGTTCTGCCTTCCAGCAACTTATGGTCTTTTTCAAGTACGACATAGATATGGGGATCGACATCTTTCAGAGTGTATTAACACATAGAATCATGGTGTGAGATGGGGAAATTACAACTACTGCTTGCCTTTGGAGTTTGTACTTTGTACGCCCAGAAAATCGTTCAGCCCATTCTGCTGTTATTCTCGAGAGGTCGGATAGTTATGTTGGATAAGTATTTCCTATGTTGGACGTGATGCGCCAGCAATGTTTCGATGTTGGCAACATTGGTCAAAGAATATTCCTATAGCCCAGTGATTTACTTGGGGCGGCGGAAAGATCTAGGTGACGGTGAGAAAACAAATGGGCAACCAGAAGATGGCAGTCGCACATTTCACCATAGTATATACCACACACACATTGTATCTGAAGCGTATATTGCCTTCAATTTATTGCATCCCATTCATATAACAATTATTATGGTAAATACTAAAATACTCATTTGGCAAGAAAATCCAGTCAAAAGTTGACTATAGTTTTGAGGTGTTAGACTTGTGTTAAATAAATTAGAAAACACTTCTATAGCCGTAGATCAGGTTCTGGATGTCCACTTTGAGTCGCATCAAGATCGATGCATTATAAAGGCAGTGGTAGTTGAATGCGCGGCATCTAATGTAGAGATTAGAGTAAATGTGAAGCCAGATGTGTCAACAGACTGTGACAGTACGTTTATTTATAGAAGAACTCCGGGCACGCGTGGTTTTAATGAAACTTCATTTTATTCAACAGCACCATCACGCCCGCAATCAGTGGATCATGCTTGGGTCATCTGAAGGATGTAATAGCATTTTGCCGTGTTCAGTGACCAGTTCAGTGTTTCAGAGATTGTTGTGGTAGGGTAATACAAACCCTTATGATGCCTATGCGATTCAATATAGTATGTAAAGATTTCAGTAAATTAGCATGAGCGTTAGACCTGTCCACCATTGAAAATGTATAGGACATGATGGAACGACGTCCGACTCGTTCAATTAGACCGCCTACAACTTTTACTATGTTGTGTCAATATGTGCAAGAATAGGAAATTAATGAGTAGGAGAATAGTATGCAGTAATCGAAAAAAATTTGCTTGGAACAAACCGCCTGCATACGGATAGAGACTGAATTGAGTTAAGTGCACGGAAGAAGAAAGGAGTGTAACACAAGGAGGCATCTTCTCACCAAATTTATTTAATCTTCACAGCGAGGCAATTCTAAAAGAAATAGAAGTCCTAACAGGATTTATTATGAGTGAGTACAATCCTAACAGCATAAGATACGCAAATGACACAGAGTTGATGGCAGATGCACAAAGAAAACTAAAGGAACTCTTAGACAATTGGGAAGAAAAGATTAGCCATTGATTGCAACAAGACAGAATTTATGGTCGTTAGCAAAAGGACCATAGACTTTTCTCCTGTAAATTAAGTCTGTCCAAAGTTAGCTGAATCATCATCTGTTGTCTTCGTTATCACCTCTTTTCGCAAACAGGAGACGAAATGGAAATCTCTTGGCTCTGTTACTGGCATTAAACTATTCCTCCAGTTACACGCACGCATGCTCAAAGCAAAAATTTAAAAGAAAGGCTGAGATTGTCAATTCGTCGGTCTCGCTCAGAGACTCAGATTCTGCTACGCTTAATACATTGATCTTCTAAGTGGCCGTCCAGAACCTGGTCTTACGGCTACAGGAATATTCAATGAATATCGAAGCATTATTGACATGTCAAATGAAACATACGCAGCATACTTACGTTCATAAAAATGTACGCATATACCAGTTGATATTATTAAAAGAATCGGTCTGCATGATAATACTGAATTTTTATCTCAAGGAAACTTAAAGATATAATGGATGAAAGTGATTCTGAAAAGCATATTTTATGTATGTAATCGTGATATACTAAGCGTTGCTTAGATGTGGCAAAAGGCCGAAAGTATGGGGCACCCAGTGTGGACTGGATTCACTATTCAGTCGTACTTGATCCAGCGAGACAAACTTGCCACCATACTGTAGCGCTCAATTTGTATGTAGTCAATATTCGGTAAATAAACGCGGCAGTTATATACTTAAATAAACAAAGAATAAACATGGCAAAAAAATCAACTATTTATAATTTACCAGTATATTTTATGAATTTATGTTAATACGTTATTAAACAATTTTGATTTTTGGTAATATTCCATTATGCTAAATTTAAAAGTTAACGCCTGAGAAGAAAAGTTTGAGAATCTCTTGGACTGAACATGTGAGCAACAAGAAAGTTTTTAAGGTAAATAGAAACTAATAGGACACTGATACTTAGAATCAGGAAGAGACAGTTGAAATTTCTAGGATGCATACTGAGAAAAGAAGGTTTGGAAAATTTGATAATCACAGGACATATCGAAGGCAAGAGGGACAGAGAGAAACAGCGAGGAATTGGGAGTGATACTAAAGAAACAAAGAGCTTTTTTTTTTACTATTATTCCTTGAGATAAGCGGTTGTAAACAGCAAACAGTTTTAAATATTTGAGAACGAATTTGGCGCCATGTATGACATCCATATGAAAATCTCGATTTAACGAGGCTATTTATGAACACGACTCGAGTTTTTAGATTAATGTTTTTGATTATGTAGCAACTTGTGGTGTTGGGAGAAACTACCCCTAGTGCAATCTATTCTATGATCAATTTCCTTATCCCCTATGCTAAATTTCTTATAACTGGTCCATACACCAATGTATAATATAACTAACATATAGTTTAATTTTCTTCTTATTCTATACACTGTGTTACTTCAGGACGTGGGTGATCATGACTCTCCATGAATTAATTTCCTTTGCTTAGTAAGTTTTGTCTTTTTACTAATCTCTGTTCTGTCATCCATTTACACAAGCTTGCAGGCAGGTTATTCGCTCTTGCATTCAATATGTCCTGTAGATGTCAAATTCTCCAAGCTTTCTTTCCTCATTATGTGCTCGAGAAATTTTAACTGTCTCTTTCCGATTTCTAATATTTTGGTATCATTGATAATTTTTAATGGGAGAATATGAATGCTTTTAGACCTATTCGGCTACAGTGTGCGTCGACGATCAAGCAAAGTTAAATCGTGCCTTATAAACACGAATCTTTCCCTGACTGTCGAAACATTCATATCTGCTCCTTTTTGTATCCTAACGTAAACAAAGCAATTTCTAAAGAAGTAATGGATTTTGTTTATTAATCCTGCAGATTCTATTACTTAAACATTATTTTTAGTGGATGACCATATTTGAATATTTATAATTATTTATTAAACAGTTCAATAGGAATACATCTGCTTGCCTATCATCCGATTCAAACGCCTCCCCAGTCTTTTGAACAAGAGTTCCTTATTTAGGATTGGGTTTCCGGTTCCTTCTAAAGTTTACTTCAACTCTATACTTCTAATGTATCCGTCTGAAATGTTATTCACTAATTAGATATTGAACTTTGCAAGTCTAGAATTAGCTCTTATTTTTCTTTCATAGCCTCAAGAAACTCATTTCTTGCCGTTTCTTATGCTAATACAACACTACACCTTGAGTGGCTCTCGGGCCTTATATTTGGTGAACATTGGTAAAAGAAAAAAGGATATTTATTTTCGTCTACCGGCCTGAGCACAGAATATGATATATAAAGTCTGTATATCAGAATAATGGTGGGTAATTGAATGCCAAAGTAAAAAGGACCCCCCCGGTCTAAATAATGTCGTTGTTTATGGAATCATAAAAGTTAAAGGGGAGATAATCATATATGTAAGTAGGGATTTGTATTTCGTCCTCGCTTCTACATATATACGATTCTATTAATAAAAACATGATACTGAATATCTTATTTCTTATTATTTTCCTCTTACTCCCTTTTTCTCGGGGTACTATCATTGTTTTTATTTTCTGTGTGTAACACATTTCTTACAAGTAGCGTATCATCTACCTTCTTTCACTCAAGCAATCCTGTTCTTTTCATTGTGTCTCCACATATTTTCTACAACTTTCTTTCTTCTAAACACATCACCCAGTTCATCTTCTTTCTTTCTTTCTTTCTTTCTTTCTTTATTTCTTTCTTTCTTTCTTTCTTTCTTTCATTTTGTTTTTTTTTTCCTTTTTCTTTCTTCCTTTCTTTTTTCTCACTCTTCTAAACGCACCACCCAGTTCATCTTTTCTTTCTTTCTTTCTTTCTTTCTTTCTTTCTTTCTTTCTTTCTTTCTTTCTTTCTTTCTTTCTTTCTTTCTCACTCCTCCAATACGAATTCATTTGTCTTTAGTCTTTTTTCGATAAACTTTGTCTCGATTTTTCATCCGATAAGCTTCAGCAGTCTGTTTACAGTTTTTTTAAGGGTAAACAATAATTTTATTTTATTTTATTTTATACAAAATAAACTTTAAGATGTGAACAGAAAAAAAAAACAGCAACAACAACAACTTTCCATTTGCTTAAAGAGGATCTATTCATTCAGAACCTTTCTCTTCAAACTGCATTTTATCGCTGCCTCAGATCGCGCGGATGGGGAATTGTGCAAAAACCTGATTTTGTCTGCAAATTGAATACAAGGAAATATCGAAAAGAAATTGAAACACGGTATTAAATAGCTGCAAAAGAAGAGAGATAGGAGAAAAAAAGACATGAAAAGGCCTGAAACCAGATGATGATGAGAAATGCTAACGTACAAGGGAAGGATTTTTTTTCTTCCTGAGAGCGGAAGTAGAGCAGTAAATGCACAGTCGGCTGCTTATGGAGCTGGTGGTTAAATGGGAGGAGCAGGAACAGAAGGGTGTTAGAGGAAATGGAGCGGGGAATATATATATAAAAAAAAAGGATGCAGTTATTACAAGATGGCGGATGCTGAGTAAAAAAAAAATGGGTTGAGAAATGGAAACATCATGTAATTTTGGAAATAAACAAATAGCTAAAAAGCACATTACATACAGTGTCAGGTTAAGGATTGTATGCAGACACACAATTATGTGTGAAATAATGTTTGCACGTGCGTCTTGTACGAAAAAGTACATTAATATAAGAAGCACTTTTTTCTTCCAAATACAAATGGCGTCTGAAACAATCATGCCGGTAGGAATTCTTCAACTCACAAAATAAAGAGGAAAATGTTCATCCTGAAAAAAAAAAATAATCTTGACGCAGAGAAAAATATTTGAAATGTAATATATCTGTTCAGAGGACGTGAACTGAATGAAATAATTTATTCGTGTCGGCATACCTACTTAATAAATCTAACCCTGTTTTCCCACACATATACACACACACGTGGGGTATACACGTAATATATATATATATATATATATATATATATATATATATATATATATATAATACAAATACATAATATATAATTAATGCAAATAATGAAGATTGCTCCCTTAGCTGACTGATGTTACTTTCAGCTCTTGATTCAACAGTTTCCTAGACGCACGGTCCACCAATCGTTCCGTCCACTCGTCAGAAGATATCAGCAACTGACAGTTTATTTTCCCGTTTCTTTTATATTGGGTTAAGAAATAATTTATGCATTTTTCATTGGCGCAAAGTTGATTTTTTTCCTCTTCTTTATTCATTGTGTGCGCGTGTGTGTTTGTGGGTGTGTGAAAGAATTAGATTTTTTTTTAATCCGGCATTTTTATTACTTCAAACGTTAATATAGGGGACACTGATTTTTATAAAAAATAAACGCTTTATTAAAAAGGGAGAATAGAGCCTTACTTAACTGTGAGGTTGTACGTGGCCGAGCAGTAAAGCACACAGGATCAAACGTTGGTTTCCCTTACAAGAAGGGACTAACTGTTAACTGTAGGATTCATGAGACTATTTTTGCAGTTATACTGGAACCCACACACGCATTAGTTTCAACAAGGATCCCTGACCGTTAAATACGTCAAATTCTCCTTAGTGTAACCGACCATGGTCAACAGAAAGCGTAATGTCCCTAATTTTCTAATGGATATTTTTTTAGTCGGACCCCCATTTTTAATTACTATAAACGTTATTTCTTCTTGGTACACATGTTTCAGTTGAAGTTCCTGTGGGTCTTTTAAAAAATTATTTTGGGATGCCAACTCAAACACGTTTACCCACTAAAAATAACTTTTATAGTAATAATAAATGATGTCGGAATTTTTTTAAAAAATCCATTAAAAGAAATGATTGTTTAAGTTTCGGGGACGAAAACGAAGTTACGAGATATAGACTCGAATAGTCCCAACAAGAGGTGTGCATTCCCTAAGGAGATAATTGAGGTTTGCTTTACCGTCGTGGTCTCTTGTGGCCAAATTAATAACAGCAGGTTTCGGCTATAGGAGTAGTTTCTCTGATGTAAAAAGGGACTACAGGTTCGATTCCTGCTGAGAGGCATATTTTTCTTTAGTAAGCCTTCATGGTTTATATAGGTTTCACTGTTTAAAACAATATAAATCAAAGGTGTCAATTCAAACACGTGTATCCACTAAAAATAACGTTCCTAATAATAAAATATCTTTATTGGAAGATTTATACGGCTTTAGCATTCTGCTATCACTTTCTTTCGACATCAGTTTTTGTGCAAACTAAACACCAAAGTGGATCACAGAGCCTTGATATTTCTCTGACTCCTGATTGGTCAATTAATGCTAATATCATGCTTTCGTCTACTTTTGCACGGTTAAAATTAATTTACCACCAACAATCTGTCTGTCTGTTTCGAGCCTATCACGTGACATATATCATTATAATTACTTAGCGACATCTTCAACTCTTTCTCTCCTCTGTTTTTTCTCAGAACTACCACAATATAGTTCAGTGAAGAGCCTGCGTCTGTCCCTTATGGGAAGACGCTATCACACACACACGCACACACAACACACACACACACACACACACACACACACACACACACACACATACGAACATTGCATATCTCTTAACTCCTCTTATTCAATCCTTCAACTATAAGCAACAGAAATTTATTAACTTCTAACAGTGAGCTTTGCGGCATCAAACAATTCGCCAAATAAATTCACGCCGTTCAAATCTTTGAAGTTTCTAAGATTTCCGAACATAATCCCAAACTTCGAATTCACTCACTCACCAACAAACTACACTTCAATTCTAACATCTACGATTTTTATCGGGACAACAAAAATTCTACTCAAAGAAGATACAGTTTGACAAACAAACATTTTATTCAAAAAGCAACTTTGAACATAATCTAACGCTAACTTACTTTGAGTCAACTATCTTACTGACGAAAAATTCTTAATATTTAATGCACAACTTATTCAAACGTTATAAGCTTAAAAGTTTATCTTTTAAACACAAAATTCAACTTTTGATATCAGCAAACATTTCATTTACCAATTTCGATTACAACAAACTTTCCAGGAAGAACGCAACTTTCTTCAAAAGACTTTACTCATTTGTTGAATCAACTTTATTCATGTAATATTTAAACTTCCATCTTTTTATCTGTTTCATTAACAAAAAAATATATATTCAATCTTCAACAGGTAAAGGGAGACAAATCTTACCTGATCTACAATATCAAACTATAACAGAAATTTACGATGTAAAATATTATTTAATTTGAACTGATTAATTCTTTGAAAATCCTTCTACTGACATTAGACTATATTTAATTCAACATGAAAAGACGATGGACATAAGAGTAAGACTAATGCTTTATGAATATGTCCTGAAGATGGTCTACTAGAACGAAACGTCCGACGTTGATATTATATTAACATTAAAACAGCATAATTGCATATTAAGATTTTTGTTTGTTTTTTTCCGTATTTTTCTTCTATATATATATATATATATATATATATATATATATATATATATATATATATATATACTTGTTTTTCTAAAAAGGAATATTTTTTGTTTTATATTGTAACTCGATGGTAGAAATATAGAGATGTCGAGGGTTCTGATTTTGACTGATTTAAACACTGTTTAAATGCATTAAATTAAGAATAAATATTGTTTCTCAAATAGGACGTTATATTCCGAACAACTTAAGACATTGTTTGCAGTGGCTGGAACTAATTTTAAGTAATTCATATACAGCCTGCCACTTGAGCTCACTCCGAGACGAGATTTCTATCTAATTTTGTAAAGGAACAAGAACAGTAAAACTTTTATTAGCGAAAATTATGTCATCTGTGAATGATTCATGTAGGAATTGGTAGCAGTGATATTTTCCTTTAGTCTTAAACACACAGGAGATAGTATCAGCAAAAGTGTGTTTAAGACATAGGATATAATTTAATCATGAAACCAATAATGTGTTTATGTTTAAACTTTGCTGAAACTTTTACTGCTGAAATTTTTGTGACGCACGGTGGCCGTTAATAACTAAGTATAACTCAAGACTTGAATGTTAAGATAAAACAGTATTTAATTACAACCGCAAATAAATACTTAACAAGAACAAAGAAGTAAAAATCTATCAAAGATAATTAACCATTTCAGTGAATACCTTGTTAGTAGCGCAACTCGGTTTAACGGCCGATAAGTCCTAAATCAAAACCCAAATCATCGACGCACAATAATGCACACTAATTCGACTTGATAGTTCCACTCAATAATCACCGCAGTCAGTAGTCTGACACCGCTATTTGTACACCCGGCGGAAAACATATAATCATAAAAAAAGCATACAAGTCCAGAGTGTCACGCTTGAACCCTGGTGGCGGTAGTTAGTAATTTTCTTCCTATATGACAATTATACATCAAAGGTTAATGGTCAGAGTTGAATCAGACCATAAAACAGTGGTATTAAAAAGTGATCAATATACGTGTGAAAAAAAAAATAAAAGTAAAAATTACATGTTGAGCTTTAATTTTAATAATCAGGAGATTAGTTGATTAACGCTTTATTTATTTTTTATTTTTGAAAAAGCTAATGAACGCCATATTATTTTTTTTAAAAATAAATAAACAAACGAACCTCATGTGTTTCTTTGTTTACTTTTTAAAAAATAATATAGCGTTCATTAGTTTAAAAAAATAAAGCGTTAAGAGGTCATTTGATAAAATTCGCCTGAAGACACCGTAAAGTTGAAACCAAGGTAGCGGATTCAAAAGATCTGATTTTTAAAGTATATATATATATATATCGTATTTTCCGGCTTACAAGATGCACATTTTTTCTTAAAAAATACCCTGAAAATACGTGTGCGTCTTCCAAGACGAATGTAAGACAACGCCCAGGCTCAAGTAAGCTTGGACGGTCACCTAATTGGCTTGACTGATAGGGACATGGATTTGTATGTTGAGTCATTACACTATGCAAGGGTATTTCGTTCAAACAATTATGACTAAACAGTGACTTCGATCCTCACAATGTGCCATATAATTTCGGCTTTGTGTCATACATAAGCTTCGCTCAGAAAGTCATCAGTACTAACAGTACTATAGGAGGCACGGTGGCGTAATGGATAGCGTCTCAGATTGAGGAATTCTAGTCGAATCCATTACATTCACTTACGTGCTAATACCCCTGGGAAAGGTATGAATCCTCTCCCTCGTCCCCAGCTATGGGTAAATAGCGGGTTGGATGGCAACTGGTCTACCGCAGAAAGAAATGGCAACCTAATGCGAAAAGAAATCTGCCTCGTCAGCCATGTATCAAAAGATACATGATCGCCTAAGCGTGTATCATGCATGGCACGGAATTTACTTACTGACAAACGGCAAACCAAAATAGCCTATTATTATGTTGTTAATAGTTTTACTGTCGCATTTTATCCGATTTTTACTTTTTAATGCCGATTATGAAGTCAATTTCTTATTTATTTTATAACGTCCTGGATATGAGGATAAACTACATGCGACAGCAAGGCCTCTGATCGGGGTTTTTTGAGGAGCGTGGAACGCCATCTTAATTGATGTTGTTCCTAGGTCCACCATAACCCGAGGTAGAAGCACCTGTTACGGTCCAAGCTATGGGCAAATAGTGAATCCTCAAACAGGAGGCAAAACACGATGAAAGTATGAAAAATAATTTTCATAGTAGAAGAGTTACCTACGTTGTATTTTCATAGCGAAAAAAATACCGGCAATACTTTTGGCATTACTTTTATGTAAGAAATTACTTTTGTGTAAAAACAAAACAACATAACCCCCCCCACACACACACACTAAATAAACCACCCAAGAAAATTCAATTTCGGTATTAAATGACCCATGATAAGGTGATATGCCGTTAAATAAACAGCTGTTCTAGCGGTCGAAGAATGTATCGATACAGAATGCTACAATAAAAAAGCTAGTAATATTATTAAATATAATAGTTAAATTTCTAAATTTAAAAATAACAAAAAAATAATATATGAAGCTGAAATGCTTCATATATTGTTCCGGTGATTTTCTAATGGCTTAAATGTGGCACAAGGCTGAAAATATGGAGCACCCAGTGAGAATCGAACTCACAATTCAGCCGTAATTAATCTAAGGAGGCAAACTTGCTAACCATTGCACCACCGGAGAATGCTAAGCGCAGCAACAAGACCGAAATTGTGGAGCACCCAGTGAGAATTGCACTCACCCTTCAGGCATAATGGATATAGCGAGACTGATTTGCTAAGCCTTACATCACGTCGATGTGCCAGAACAGAAGTTGTTAATGTGTTAATTAAGAGTTTTGACTGATTTTCTTTCGTACGATCAAATCATCCTGGAAATACCGAGTCTCTTTCGATCACCGAAGTTAAGCAGCATCACTATTTAGACAGGGGGTCTGCTAGGGAACACCGTGTTCTCTAAGCAACCTGTTACACTCCGAAATTTTAAGTTTAAATAACCCATAAAAGGTTGACAAGCCGTAAAAATTACTCAATCAACATTAAATTTTTGTGTTTTTTTTAAATTAATTATCCTTTTTTTCTTATTTTTACCTTGCATTTTGTACTGTAGTGGTAGCGTACACAGTGGATTAAGAGAAATAAGTTCTTTACAATGATAATCCAAGGTTGCATACAGTAAGAATTAAAATTGGAATTCGGTTGGTTTGTTCTATTCTATCTGCTATATTCTTCCTTAGGTGCCACAAGTGTTGAGTAATGGTTAACGGTTGACTATTCGTATTGAGTTTAATCTTTGACATTTAAAAACCTAGCATAGGGATTGACATTTCATAAAATCAGAATACCTATTTTTTTTTCTTTTTTCGTTCTCTTTTTCTTTTTCTTTCATAAACCTGTTTCTTTATTTTTCTCTTTTTTCTTTTCTTCCTTCTTTTTTTATCCCCACTCCCCGATTTTTTCTCTCACGAACAGTACTTACGTTTGATCCTACCTTTCTTTTTCTTAGCGTTCTTTTTTTTTTTGTTTTTTTTTAGGCATTTAAAAGTATACGAAGATTCAAGTTTTTATTCCTTAAAAATATTTTTTCCGCTCTTCCCTCAGCTATTTATTTTTCGTTCAATGTTTTCTTTCATTTCTTCCTGAAATTTAAAAAAAAAAAACGTTTTTATTTTATTTTATTTCTTTCCCGTTTTCATTTTCCCCACGTATTTACGCGCCCTTTCTTTCATTTACACTCGTCGACTGTCTTTTTTATCCGCCATTGATAGCTTTTCCTTCACTATTTACTTTCCTAGATTTTCTTTCCCTCTTCGAATACTTATTCATTAATTCTTTCTTTTTTTTTCTTTTGTCTTTCTAACCAGAAAGCCCCCGCCCCGACAAAAAAAAAAAAAGATACAAGCTAATCCAGTTTTATACTGAGTCACAGATGGCGTCATACAGTGAATCTGCAATAAACCAAACACTAATTTTTGTCTCAGGCGCCTTCTACCTACAATTTCCAACCAACCCCTTTTCCGCTAATCATTCAACTTCATTATGTTTTTGTCAAACTTCTAATCTTTATTACCCTTTTTTAAGTTTTCTTTCCTGCTGTTCTCCCTGTTATTCCGTTTCTGGATATATGTAAGGTTCCTTCCCTTCGCAACGCACCAATTCCATCATTTTTAATTAACCGTATTGCTTGCTGCTGCTGCTACTTTTCTCGTTCTGTTTCATCTCATACCACCACTTGCATTGCCTACTCCTTGTCATTTGTCGTCTGCTTCTTTTGATTCTTTACCGCTTTCATACGACATGCAACATTGATTGATTTGTGTACAAATAGTTTATGTATGTACATCAATTCATGGATCCCTTCATTTAAGCTTTCTCCACGGGGAATTCTTTCAAATCTTTTTCAATCCTTTCACCCACGCAAGGGGATAAAGCCACTAAAACGTAGGAGATTACTGAGTATGAAAGAATACGAAAAAAAGAGGAAAAAACATTATTAAAGAGAGAGAAGAATAAAATAACATAAGATAAAAATGCAGAAGATAATGATTGATACTGCATTTAAATTTTTGAAAATCAAAGTTGACTGGAAAGCAAATGAGTTCCACAAGCAAGAAGTTCGACAGAAGAAACTGTTAGCATAGAACTTACGGTTATATCTGGCAATTTCAACTGTAAAATAATTAGGCCTAGCTTCCAACCTAGTTCTGAGCTTAAATTCGTAAAGTCGGGGTAACAAAGAGGAAAGCTCACCAGAAGAATTATCATGAAAGTATTTATAGAAAATTCACAGAGAAACGACATTACGGTGGTAGGATAGTAATTTAAGTCAAGATGCGAGGTCAGGATCAATAATTTTGCAGATTCTTTTCTGGATTTTAAAAAATCTCTAATTACATAGATGCACCAGACAAGATGGTTACTGTAATATTCAAAGCATGGACGAATGATTAACTTACAAATTTGTAAAATAGATTCTGGCGAGAATAAATTGTCTATCATGATACCACTAACCAACCTTCCTAGCAGCAAACTTAGCAATTGATTCAATATAATCCTTTCATTTCATTTCAACAAAAAATTGTTAGCCCAAGAAGACGCAACGAATCACTCTTCTGGAGGTTAGCATCAGCCATGCTGAAAGAAGGCAAACAAAGTTTCACTAACATTCCTGATTACTTCAGATTGAATGCAATTCAACTTGACCGAATTTTTAAGATGTGGAATAATTAAAATCTTATATTTAGTTCGAGGCCATTTTTCTGGCGTGAGTTTAATGAATTAGTTTATTATCGACTGCTTACAAAACAAAAAAAACTGGTCTATGCACTTCATAATATTAGGGAGTGTTGAAGGAATCAAGAAAAATTATTTTAAATCTGTGCTCTCACCCACCCCAACAGATCATGCTATAATTGGATTTGCATTCAATATCTCACCAGGCGATCAAGAACGCCAGGTGCATGGTTTACAAGTGACATAACAGAATAGAGTGAGGGGCCAACTTCACCTGATTTACAAGCGAGGGAACAAGACACTTACCAGATAGTTATATAAACAATCCCCAGCGGTGAAGTGCAGTCACTCAGACATTGCAGACGTGAATGTAAGATCCACGTTTCGGACGAGTGGTCCGAGGGCCCCGCACACAGGTCTATACGTTTGCACCTTCTATATCATTACATTCAGAGGTTTGGCCATTTACTCAGATTTTAGGATGTGGGTCGGGCTGAGAACTTCCCAGGAATGACTGCAAAGACATCTCCCTCCCAAAAATCATAGACAAAACCCATAGATGCACGATGGAATTTTTTTCGCCAATAAGACTTAGTTCTGTTCTTTCTTGAACTGAAGCCAGAATGCCTTTTGTGTATTGGCACCATTTTTAGTTTGTGAATTGTTTGCTTTATTTCTGTTACTTTGCCTTATTGTTATAGTTTTGCCTTGCATATAGTGTTTGCTCAATATTATTTTTGCCTTGTTCTTTTTCTTTCTTTCTCTTGTTGTTGTTTATTGCAAGCTTTGTCAATTCTGTTTTTTGGTCATTTCGGCCAAATACATTTAACCATGGCCAATTACCCGACACTTATTGACAATCGAGATCAATACACTTGCGAATCATTATACCAGAGAGACCTCCTAAATATCTAGTTAAGACAAGAACTTTTGAAATTACAATATATATATATATATATATATATATATATATATATATATAAAAAAGTGTGTTCCTATAACTTGGGAAAAAAAGATGTATGACAAATTGAAAAAAAAAATTGGTAAGCTTTGGTATGAATGAAGCCCTAACGGATGAAACGCGTCACAAAAAACTTTTTCCCAATTTGTCATACACATTTTATTTCAAATTATATATATATATATATATATATATATATATATATATATATATATATATATATATATATGACGCGTTTCATCCGTTAAGGGTTTATCTATAAGGTGAAACGCTTACCAAGTTTTTTTTCAATTTGCCATACATCTTTTTTCTTTTTTTTTTTTTTTAAAAAAAACTGTTCTTAATATATACACATTTATATATCGTTATCCCATATATATATATATATATATATATATATATATATATCGTTCGTGTGTGGGTGTGTGTGTGGGTGAGAGAGAGAGAGGAAGAAGGATAGATAATGTCTTTGTGTGTGTGTGCTTAAAATTTGCTATATTTCTATGTGAGGTTAAAACTAAAATCAATTTAAAGACATTAACGCTAAACAAAATCTGGCAAAAATCAGGCCTCATCACGTTGGAACACCCGTTTTCGTACGATCACCGAAGTTAAGTAACGTTGAGCCTAGTCAGTAACTAGATGGATGACCGCTTGGGCGATGTAATGAATAATGTCGCGGAATTGTTAGTTGTAGAAAAAGTGTTCCAATTCCTGTTGGCGTCACTATATTCACTTACGTGCAAATACCCTTGGAAAATGCATGAATCCACCTCTTCTCCCGCATCAATGGGTTAATTAGTTAGATTCATATCGCTAAAACATTATTATCACCGCAAAATAATTCTTACAGTATAAACATATTTCCTGGCTTTAAATAACCATCAAAAGGGATGAGAAGACATAAAAAACAAATCAACCAATCAATCAAACCTAGCCTCTCCCCATAAGCACCCACTGGTCTTGATGTTGAAGGCTGAAAAAAATAGTAACCTATGGTCTGATGATCACTTAAAACGTGAAACTGTCAGTCACTATACATGTGTATACTTTTTATGCCTGTGTGCTTGTTTTGTAGGTTTCAGGTTACGTCTATTATTATTACAATTAATAACTTGTTTTAGCAAAGGTTGTCAGCTTTTGTTATGAAAACAAATTAAGTGAAAAATATTTTCTTGTTCATAAATCAACCCAAAAAGATGTAGGTCACAGAAACATATATTTGCTTAATTCTGTATATAACAGAAATAAATTCTGTATACCTGAATAAATTACTATTTAATATATTAATGTGGACTATTTGGCATTCTTTACTTTCTTCTTTTTCGTCTCTCGTTGATTTTATTGACTTTCTGTCGTTTTGATTTTAACATTAAATTCTTCTGAAAGATCTTGGCTTGAACATTGTTTTCCATTTTCATATACATTTCTTTTAATGACAGGCCACACATTTCTTTTGGAGTAATATCTGGAGAGCTTTAATTTACTGTCTTTGAAACCTTTTAGTTTTTTTTTTAGCAAGTTGGACAATCCTCAGCCATGTACTATTCATAAAACGTCTTTTCCAAGAACTTATCTGCCTTTATCTTGGCATCATCATCAGATGTGAAGTGACCTTTAATTTTACTGTCTACAATATTAACCGAAACATTATCCTACCCCCTCCCTGTTGTCACCTATATTTGTCGACTATTTTCATGAAGAAGTGAATTTAGCTTTTAAACTCTTTATTGAAATATATATATATATATATATATGAAGAACTCAAATTTTATATTATATTTATATTTATATAATTTATATATATATATATATATATATATATATATATATGAAGAACTCAAATTTTATATTATATTTATATTTATATAATTTATATATATATATATATATATATATATATATATATATATGAAGAACTCAAATTTTATATTATATTTATATAATTTTATATATATATATATATATATATATATATATATATATACGAAGAACTCAAATTTTATATTATATTTATATAATTTATATATATATATATATATATATATATATATATATATATGAAGAACTCAAATTTTATATTATATTTATATTTATATAATTTATATATATATATATATATATGAAGAACTCAAATTTTATATTATATTTATATATATATATATATTTATTAAAGACATTTTTTTTTTATGTTTAACGTTGTTATTTTATAGATACAAGTATTTAAGCAAATGCTCTGTTTATGATAAACAGTATTAAATAACATTTACCGGCCTGAATGTCCGAGAAATTTTCATAGAAAATATTCGTTCATTGACAGGATTCGAACCTGCATCCTATACGGAACCGTTATATACGCTGACGTGCCTTACCTCTGGGCCACAATGAACCTTATGGTAGACAAGGTCAATTTACTGTTTATAAACTACAATCTTCCATGAATCTCGTACATTCATAACTGCTCTGGCGTATCGAATGTAAACAAATGACGTCATATGTTAAGAAATGGACAAGGTCCGACAATTTATTTATTAAAGACATTTTTATTTATGTTTAACGTTGTTATTTTAT